TATGCATATCTTGGTCCTAAAAATACATACCCTGTTATTGTTAATGCTGAGCTTAATAACATTGAATTAGAGAAACTTCTCGCTGTTTTAAGAAAATATAGAAATGTTATTGGGTATACCATTGATGATATCAAGGGTATTAATCCCTCTTTTTGTATGCATAAGATCATTCTTGAGGACGATCATGCCTCCTCTAGAGAACCTCAAAGAAGGCTAAATCCAACTATGATGGAGGTAGTCAAGAAAGAGGTTCTCAAATTGCTTGCTGCAGGAATAATCTACCCTATCTCAGATAGTAAGTGGGTTAGTCCTGTACAAGTAGTACCAAAGAAAGGAGGTATGACAGTTGTCAAGAATGACAAAGGCGAGCCTGTTGCCACAAGAACTGTTACAGGGTGGCGGATGTGCATTGATTACAGAAAATTAAATAAAGCCACCCGTAAAGATCATTTCCCCTTGCCTTTCATTGATCAAATGCTCGAACGATTGGCTAACCATTCCTTTTTCTGTTACTTGGATGGATATTCCGGTTTTTTTCAAATCCCCATCCGCCCTTGTGATCAGGAAAAGACTACATTCACATGTCCATATGGCACCTTCGCATATCGCAGAATGCCATTCGGATTGTGTAATGCCCCAGCCACGTTCCAACGGTGTATGATGGCTATTTTCTCAGGTCTCATAGAAAATTCTATGGAAGTTTTTATGGATGATTTTTCTGTTTATGGTTCATCTTTCGATATTTGCCTTGATAATCTAACAAAGGTGCTCCATAGATGCCAGGATGTCAATCTGATATTGAACTGGGAGAAGTGCCATTTTATGGTACAATAGGGAATCGTTTTAGGCCATGTAGTTTCAAACAAAGGGATTGAGGTGGACAAAGCCAAAGTAGAGGTAATAGAGAAACTTCCCCCTCCAAATTCTGTGAAAGAAGGAGAGCAAGTCCTTCTATTCAATTCAAGGTTGAAACTATTTCCAGGGAAACTCAGGTCAAGATGGTCGGGCCCTTTCACGGTCTACAAAGCATATCCTTATGGCACCATTGAATTATGGAACAACACCGGGGGCACCTTCAAAGTCAATGGACAAAGGGTGAAGCACTATCGAGCGGGAGATCCTATTGAAGAAAAGTCAGATATCACATTCTCTTCCTCACCACAAACTCAATGAGGATGAATACGGTCAAGCTAATGACCTTCTAAACAAGCGCTTGCGGGAGGCAACCCGATTCTTTTTGAGGAGCCGTCGAGATTCCTATGCTCTCCTTACGCTGCAATGAGGCCATTGCCGCATTTAGCTTGGGGGAGTTGCTTCGTACATGTGGTACTCTCTCTCTCCTTATCTCTCTTATCTTTCTTGTTTTATTTTAGTGTAGTTATTTTAGTTTTTTTTTTTTTTTTTTTTTTTTTTTTTTTAAAAAAAAAAAAAAAAAAAAAAAAAAAAAACATACAAAAAATACGATCCAATGAATAATAAATCATGCTTCCCTGTGCCCCATTCATGAAAATTGTTTTAATTCTTGGTATATGATGACGAGTATTGTGGATAGGTTAGCCATGATTTGATGTTTGATTACTTGGATGTCTTAACATGAGTCAATTTTGCCCAACTACTTGTGAATATAGTGCTTGACTAGTTGATTTGGTTAGGAATGTGTGTTAGTTCCTGGTATGTCAATGAAGTTGAGTATTGGTTTATAACTTTGAGTAATGTTTGCATGACTCATTAATATGCACATTGAGGAGGACGAAGGCATTTGTTCCTCTAGGTGGCTTTCAGACGATATTAGATACATTTGTTCCCTTCTTGCTACCCATGTTGTTGCTTGTGCCCTTTTATTGTTTATTTTGCCACATTACAAGCCTATTTAAGCCCCATTGGTTACTAGTCCCAAGCTCGGCTTGGGGGAGCTAATAGTGAGTGAGGTGAGGGAGTTGTAGTGTGCATGTAATCTGCACAATTTTGGGTGGATTTGAGAAGTTTTTATTTGTTCTTATTGTTGTGGATTGAAAAAATTGAAAATTTATTGTGCAAAGAAAAAAATTCCAATGTGAGATGAAAAAAAGGGAAAAGAAAGAGCAAAAGAAAAAAATTGTTTCAATGTTCAAGTGTTCTAATTGAAGGCTGCTCAAGAAAAAAAAGGAGAGTTCAAAGTTTGTTTGTTCACTCAAGTTCTATAATTTTATATTTTGTATATATGAGTGAAATTTTAAGTGTTGGAAATTTTTAATATAATTGGATGTTTGGTGAATTTTTGGTAGAGTTGAGTTGTGTTGGAGATGATTTGGTCATTAATTCATTTTGATCTTGGTTTTATTTATTAGGATTTTGGCTCCCTTAAGCATAGCTTTACTCTTACATTTTCCCAAATATTTCCTACCTTTTATCCTAGCCTTACATTACAAGCTTTGAAGACCTTCTGACCTTTGTGCATAGAGTTGTGTGAATGTGAAATTAGTTGTTTTCCAATGCAAAGAATGATTTGATATATTTCGAGTCGACTGCTAGGTTGAGTGCTTGTTTTCTTTAAACACACGAGTGCGTGAGTTTGGGAGGGCATTGTTCACATTTAAAGGAGCTGGATGGAGAGCGATCGAGTATATCTTTTACTCGCCACATAAATGAGAGTTGAGTGTGTGAACACTAGTCTTGAATTCTATATGCTCTTGTGGTTTGCTCTATTTGACTATTGTCAGACAGGATGAGTAGTCAGATGGATTTGATTGGTTGACTTTGATGCATAACTGTCGAGTTTACCTTTAATCGTATTTATTGATTTGAATTGCTTTTGGGGTGAAGTATTGATTTATTTATTCATTGCTTTGCTTAGGGACAAGCAAAGGTTTAGCTTGGGGGAATTTGATATACGTGTTTTATACAATGGTTTTCCCCGGTTTTACTTAGTAATTTTATATGGTTTTGAGCTCTACGGAGCCATTTCTTGCTAACAATCTCTTCTTTAGTGTATTCGATTGTTTTAGTAAGCTTTTCAGGAATATGAAGCGTTTCTAGGCAATTGGACGTGTTTTTAGTAGATTCGGAAGAGTTGATAGCCAAGAACTGCAATTTATGTGGAGTGCCCGACCGGGCATGGCTTGCCCGGGCAGACCGGGCAATGAAGAGTTCACAGGAAGAAGCCCAATTCTGAACGGTGCAACGCGCGCCCGATCGGGCAGGCTTCGCCCGGTCAGACCGGGCGATGAAGAAGTCAAGTTATGAAGATGCAATTCTGGAAACGTGTTACGCGCGCCCGACCGGGCGAGGTTCGCCCGGTCTGACCGGGCAAAGAAGGAAAACTGTCGTATTTTACGCAGCCTTCCTCCGCCCGATCGGGCGAGATCTGCCCGGTCTGACCGGGCGATGTTCAAGATTGCGCGATTTCAGCTATTTCCGAATTTCTATCTTTTGGGGGTATAAATACCCTTTTGTAATTAACTTTTAAAGAGAGTTTTTCATTAGTTTTTCTCCTTAAGCCCTAGAAAACTCTCAAGAACCCTAGTTTTATTTCCTTTAAGCAATTTCAATCTTTTAATCCCAGATTAATCAATTGTTCATCAACAATTTGAGTTCTTTCAATTGGAGTAATTGGTATTTATCTTACTTCACTCTTTTCTGATATTCACTGTTCTCTAAATATGTTTTCTTTACTGTTTCTTGTTTTTGAACTTGATTTTGATTTTATTATGATGTGTGAGTAGTTTCCTTAATCCGGGATCTTGCTAAGCCCGATTATGATTGATGTATAAAGTAGATCTTTAAATTCCCCAATAATAATCCCAATTGACATGCTTAATTGATTGTGTTTATGCCAATACTAGATTAGGAATAATTAGTATTGTTATCATCCCTTTGTTCTTATTGCAACGGAAGTTGGGTATTAACGGGATTAGGTTATTCCAATTAAGGGTTTGAAGATCATCACGGAAGTAGATGATTGAATAATTAGGAATCTAGGCATGGTGTTTAATGTCCCTTATTCGCTTGATTCCACGGAAGTAGGCTTGATAGTTAATTTGGGAAGCCATTGATAACTTGGAAGAGACCTTTGGTATTATTATTAGGGATTGCTTTTCTTCTTGTCAATTGATTTATATATTGGGGGTAGATTTATTAGTTTATCAATCATAATCGTGGTAATGCTTGATCTTGGATGCTTTAGTTTATTGATTAATATTTCCTCTAGTTAATTGTGTTATTTAATATATTAGTTGATTATTATCATCCATTATTGATTGGTGACGTGCTTAGTGATTAATTGAGTCTGATTAATTGAATGAACCATAGTCTCTTGGGATTCGATCCTTACTTGCCCTACTACACAGTTAGAAGGAATAGTTAGGTTATTTTTGTTAGGTACGCGATAAGCCTATCAAAGTCTAAGAAAGAAGATAATCAAAATTCCGTACAAAACTCATATATAAACGTTTCCTAAAACAAAAATTAAAACTAACTAATCTGGTCCTATAGAAACACGCGCCCGATCGGGCAAAGGGCGCCCGATCGAGCCCGCCTTTTTCTTCGCGTCCCTTCTCCGCAGCATCGCCCGATCGTGCTAGACGCTCGCACGATCGGGCGCGCTATAAGCCACGCACAGCACTAGCAGCGCCGCGCCCGATCGTGCTAGAGGTTGCCTGATCGGGCCCTTGCTTCACTTTGAGGCTCGGACTTCGATTGGGCTTGATTTCTCAGCCCAATCCGGATTTCCTCTTCGGGTCTTGAATACTCGGTCCAAATACCTCGGGATCCCAATTACCGAGCCCTTAATCACCGGCTCGATGACTCTAACCGGCCTTGGGCTTCAAAGATGGTCGTGCACTTCTAGTTCCCGTAGTCGCTCCATGAAAAACCCGAGAAAATGCTCCAAAGGCGCAATTTCCTACAAAACTCAACAAAGACTACGAAAACACTAGGAAGCACAAATTAGTAATAAAAGTGGCTCGAAAGAGCCAAAAACACTACTAATTATGACCAAGGGACGGGGGTAAATTACTATATAAAATGGATACATCAAAGAACTTAGAGAAGACGACAAATGAGAATGGCAGCATATCAGCAAGAAGTAGCAAGATCCTTCAACAAGAATGTCAGAACAAAAGTCTTCAAGCTGGGAGATTGGGTTCTCAGAAAGGTATACGAAAATACCAAGGAAGTAAATGCAGGGAAATTAGCACCCAACTGGGAATGACCTTACGAGATCACTAAGGTGGTAGGTAATGGAGCCTACAGACTCGGAAATGCAGAAGGAAAAGAGGTACAACGAAGCTGGAATGCAGCGCAGTTAAAGCTATATCATTTATGGGGAGCGAAGGTACGTAGTTATCATTTCAATATTGTCTCTTTTTACAAAAAAAAAAACACAAAAAAACAGAAAAAAGCAAAAAACCGAAAAAAAGAAAGAAGAAAAACAGAAAAAACACAAAAATCTCCAACAGCCAAATCAGCACGAAAGGTACTCCTCTCTACTCACACTTTGTCAATTCAATTTATGATCATTACGAGTACTGACTTTGGCATCGGAGGGCCGTTGGGGAAACCCACAGCCACCCCTCACATTATTCTGTTTTGCAAGGAACAACACCTACACTACTAGGCAAGAGCGCAACAGGTCATCACAGAGAAATGGTTAATCATCCCTGCATAACAAGCAAACACATGTAAGCAACACTATATTCATATTACAATTGTAATACAACTGTAATACAACAGCAGTACGACTGTAATACGACAATGATACAGTAAGAAACATAAATACAGATCAACATAGCAAAAGAGACAGAATTACTTAGTTGCAAAGCAACAAAACAGACAAATTATCCAACTACAAAAGTGTAGCACAAAGACAAAATAAAATTATCCAACTGCACTAAGCCAGTAAAAATAAACATCCTTCAAAGTGAACAAATTTTTTTTAAAGGTGACACAACACCACTGAAACTAATTCTCCCCCATATTGTCAGCAGGGACCACCTCCTCCACAACAGGCTTCATACTCTTTGGGGCATCCTTAACTTCATCGTTATGAGGAGAGTTCACTTCCTCGTCAGCAAAACTCAGCAGCAATGAGCCAGGAGCAGCAATCCCTTCAGGAAATGCTTTCTCAAAGGCAGCCTTAGCTTGTCAGCATCATAATCCCAAGCTTCGTGCTTTCCTTGCTGAAACTCCTCCATCATTTCAAGACGTGCCTTCCCAAAGTAGTATGTCGCAGCATCAACAGCCTCATTCGCATCCTCCTTCAAGGTTCCTTTCAGCCCATCACGTTCAGCAATACACTCCCTATGCTTAGTCCGTTCAGCCTTCAGAGCATCTGTAGCAGCCTTGGATTTGCCAGAAAGGGCATCACGTTCCTTCTTCATAGCCTCATACACCCGAGTAAACTTTGACACCTTACCCAGTACACCCAGGCAAGACTGAAGGCTCTGCAAAACAATAAGTTAAGTACGGGAAGCATAATTTAATAATGTCGTTTTATATAAAAAAAAAATTCGGAGTATACCATACATGGAAGGACTGCACAGCAGCCTCTTGAGAGAGGTCAGCAAAGGTCTGCGAGGACTGACGATCCTTGAAGGATGGAAACAACAGAGTGTCCACATGTGGAGCCAAGGAATCAAAAGAGAAGTCAACATCGTCAACATCAATAGGCATCTCCAGTTTCCTCTTGAGATTAGTGCGAGGCGGAGGTGGAGGAGGACCACCCTTTGGAACAACCATTTTAATGGGAACATTCCAAGAAGTTTGAGGAGAAGAACGAGACTTAAGGCGACCTAAGATAGAAGACGAGCTAAGAAGGTCATGAGACCTTAGTGATCTCGAAGTATCTACAAGGAACATGGCAGAATTCAAAAGGGAATACACAAGGAACACAACAAACATATTCAGAAAGGTACATAACCAACTCAGAAAGGACAAACAAAATGGAAACCAACTAAATTATTAACAAAGGAAAAACAGATTTGCAACAAAATACATCTACAAGGATTGACGCAACAAAACACCACAAGCACTTCAGAAAAGAGAAAAACAAACCTTGAGACATAGCTGGGGCAACTTTCTGCTCAGAATCAGAATTGTCCAATGACTTGATCTGGATAACCGCTTCTGGCTGCGTCAATTTGATGAAGGATCTCTCGTCTGCACTCAACTCGTACAACTTGTCTATCAGGGACGAAGACTGGGAACGCTGCTTCAATTTACTCACTGCAACCATCAAGCAAATAAGCCCAAATCAACAAAGAAGGAGAGCAAAACACAGGAAAATAAGAAAACAAAATACCTTCAGCCTCAACAGTGTCAATAAAAAAATCACAATCATCACCCAACGAATCAATCCTCACAAAGAAGAACTTGTGCTACCACTTCTTGTCAAACGCCTTCTCCAAGTCAGTCACCAAAGGACCAACACCATCTTTCAAACGAAGACCAACTCGACCCTTACCACTGGTCCTAATAGTGTAAGGATAACACAAATCCCTTACATCAAGTTCTATACCTAATTTTGCACTCGGCAAATCCAAAATTCTCAAAACCCTCCAAGTTTGGGGCAATAACTGACAAGGCGAAACCCTAACCCTAGAAAGAAATTGACGAACAAGAGAAGAAAAAGGGAAAGTATGCCCAATTGCAAAGGGATACTCAAAGAAGCACACCCAACCAGGGGCAGTCCAGTCAGCCCTCTCCCTAGAAGACGGGATTTTCACCACAACCCCATCAGGAAATCGCGCAACAGCAGCGATGTTCTGAACTTCCTCTTTCGTTATGGTGGAAGGATAAACATCCTTAGCAGGGAAGACGTTCTGCGCTACCAAGGACGGATTTTTCACACCCTCATCCACCCCAGCAAACACTACTTTTACATGATCATCCATCGCAAAACAAAAAGAAAACAACGAAATGAAGAAACAAAGGAGACAGAGAAGAGAGAGAAAATACCTGATGAAAATTGAAATTGGGGCAAAGCAATGAAGTAATTAGACAAGAGCCTGCACACCCAATAAATAGCAAAGAAAGAAATAAACCGCCTTTCACAGTTATCGAGGAAGTTGCCTTAAAACCGCCACCACTTTCCTATTTTGCTAACCGTTGGAATAATTTCTGAAAAATTCAAAATCCTTCTAACAACTTCTTTAGGTAATTTTCACTTCCAATACTTGAAAATAAAAATTAGGGGCAATTGTTGGGCCATTATTACCACACGACCCATTGTACTTAGGGCACCAGTCCAAGATCAATAAATCAGCAAGAATATGCAAAACGGCTTGATTGGAATAAACAAGGAAAGCAACACCAAGCATATCAATCAAGGAGATACTTGCCAAAGATACACCTACAGAACAGGGAACAAGATAAATCAAGAAGATCTTATACATTTCAAATATATTCTGAATATATTTGTAAACCCTAGAGATCTCTAGATATAAATAAGAAGAATTAGGCATTTTAGCACTCATGTACGCTCGCATATACTTAAATATAAACAATTTTCTCTACTTTTATCTACGGAATTGCATCCCTACTGAACAAGGAGGCTTGTCCTTACTCAGTATTGTATCTCTAAACTCATCTTCTTTATATAATTGATTATTTACTGCTTACTTATTGATTTATCGTCGTTCTTAGTTGTTTTATATGCTATTGGTAGAATGATTGTTATTACCCCTCAAACCTAGCAAATTCTTAGATGCCCTTATTGAGATTTGCCTAAACAGATTGATCCCTTTTTCGTACATCATAGGAAAGTTTTGTCTGACTTCAATGAGTAATAAGTTGCCATTTTCTCCCTCCTTTTTTTGTTGTTCTGTCTTGAAGTAGATAACATCAAATATGACACTTTTAAGTTAAAGAAAAACAAAGTGTATTACATCAAATAGGGCAGTTTCAAGTTTACCAAAAATAAGTGAAATAAGACAAGCTAAGATTACAACATGACAAATTAGGGAGAAGTGAGAATGAATAACTTGATTATTATTGATCGATAGGTAGAGTATTTATACAAAACATACGCTCATAAGATAGGAAACAATATTCCTAAAGATATACTAACATAACCATAAATATCCTAAATATATTATTCTCTGAATGATATCTACGGAAAATATATCACACATATATTTTCCGATATCTCTAACACCCTCCCGCAATCGTAACGACAGTAACACGTACGTTGCTTGATTATTATTGATCGATAGGTAGAGTATTTATACAAAACCTACGCTCATAAGATAAGAAACAATATTCCTAAAGATATACTAACATAACCATAAACCCTAAAGATAAATTCTCAAAATAATATCTTAACATAAATATCCTAAATATATTATTTTCTGAATGATATCTACGGAAAATATATCACACATATATTTTCCGATATCTCTAACACAACATAATCATTTCTTTCTCTAATTCTACACTTACATACGACTGATATACGACGACATACATAATACGGCAGTTTCGAGTTTACTTACCAGAAACCCAACCTAATTGTGGCTGTGCACTCCTGATAGATAAGCCAGCTACATACAAATTGGAACAAGAGAAATACTTTTTTGAACTGAAAATTTAACTAAGAAGAGGTAGAACTAATTAACAAGATGCACCTCTCTACGCTTTGGAATTGTTTATAATGTATATACTGTTAGGAATATAGGAGAATATATTATAAACTTCTATAAATCTATCTTAAAATATCACTTAGATATATTATTATCCTAAATATAACATCATAAGATATATATGAAAAATATATCACAATAATATATTCTCTTATATTCCTAACATATATTATATAGTCTATAGTGTAGTGGTTGCTTATGTGTTGGATGGTACTTTTTGTTTATGTAAAATAGGTTATGACTCAACTACTAAAGCGATGTTTCAGTTTGTTACTTTGAATTTCACATACACATACATTGTATTATTTGAGTATATATAAAATAAGTAGTATTGATGTTGATTTGGAAACAACTACGGAGTATTTAATTTGTTAAAAATTTACGTCTTTTGTAATAGTCGTATAAATGTAACCAAATTTTTGGATTTGAGTTGGTATCTTGAAATTTTAAATATCGAAACCGTGTAAATGGGTAACCTAAAAAAATATTTCATAACTTGCATGTGGTTTATATATAAGATTTTCCATTGAAATTTAATTTATATTTAACAAAGGCGATTGAAAGAAAGTATACACGTTACGTCACTCTCCATCTCTCTCCCATTTGTTTATCATTTTATGTTATCAACTTGTATTAAAAAAATATTACTCTCTTCGTCCCTTTTTTATATTCCTATTTGTAAAATTACATAGGAATTAAGAAACTAAGAATAAAACAAATAACAATAAAACAAAACACAATGAGAAGTACAAAACATTAAATGATGTCTTTCAGTAAAATAAAGATAGATTAATATTTAATGATGCAATGTCATCAATCCTTTGCTAAAAAAAAAAAAAAAAAAGACCAATAACATGCTCTTATTGGTTAAGAACTAATCATATTCATCTAAATTTAGGCACAAGGATTCTAAATTTTTTTAGGGGGAAAATAAGAGTGAGAATAGGGAAGTAAGAGTGTGCATTAATTACAAAACAGAAAAAGAGCGATAATTTGGGATATTTGGAAAGAAAAATACTTAATAAAAAAGGAAAGGAGGAATGTAATTTTGAAATACCCAAAAAGAAAAGCAGGAATGTAAAAAAGGGATGGAGGGAGTATCTATATAAAATTCAAACATATGTACTTACAATCCTTACAATAAATGCCTTACCATTAAATTAAGGATGCCATACTTTAAGATGAAAGAACATATAGTTATTTGACAATAAACATACTTTATGATCTCTTATTAAAAACAAAATTTTAATTACATATCCATTCATGAAATCCCAATTACTTTTCCTTTCTTTGATTGATGAAATTTTGAAAATTTTGTGTTTTTAGGTTGAGTTGTTGTTAAAGGGATGAGATTGATTGCAGAGTTAAGCTTAAGTTTTGAGGGGGAAAATAAAAGTGAACCTCATTCGCCAGATTTTGTTGCATGTGAACCCAAATTATGAATAGTGCCACTCAAACTTTTTAGGGGTATTTTTTGTATAAATTTTAAATGACTAGTTGTTGACAAAAATAACTTATTAGGTGAATGGTTCCTGATAAATATTCCTTAAATACATATATACAAATGCATGGTTAACCACATGTACTGATTTAATTTGAGGTATTGTCTGAGCCCAGGCCAATTACTAATTGCATGTGTTTCAAAAGATGTGATTATACAATTGTAGTACGTGTTTTATCACATCCATTTAAGAGTTTCCATCAAGGAAACAATAATTTGTAGGTTAATAAATTACTAATTGCATGAGTTTCAAAAGATGTGATTATATATGGGAGTTTTTTCCCGACTTTTTAAAGAGCCACGTTAGATTTAATTTTTTCATCGCGCCATGTAGGATAATAAATTTTAGTGGTAGCCAATTAAATACGAGATTATTAATTTCTTTAGAATTAAATAATTTAAATGGCACGTAAGCAAAATTGGCGAATGAGATTTTCCAGTTTATATATATATATATAAACAAATCGTGTGTCGCACGAGCTTCATCTACTTTATATTATTTTAGTCCATGATATTGGATATGTATGAAGTTTTTTTTTTTTTTCCTTTTTTTTAAAGGTAATGTGTTGGGACAAAAAATCTTTAGCTCCTTACATTGGATCATAGTGAATTTGAGGCTTCTTTTACCAAAACGACTAATTTGATAAAAGTATTTACCAAATTAAAACAATTAATTATAAAATTTTAGGAAAATTTGTCAAAAAAAAACCTTTAAATGCCACATTTTGCAAGAAAAAACCTTTTAAAAGGATCTTTGTTAAGAAAAACCACCACGATCACTTTTTTTGTTTAATGAAACCTCTTCCCTCTTTTCAGGCATTGACTCGAATTTTGAGGCGTTGACCTCTCATTTTCCCTACTTACACCCAACTCGTTTTATATTTGCACTCCTTAGTTTTATTTCCCTCTTATTTTCCCTCAAAATTTAATGCTCCCTATATTCTCTCTCCTTCCTCCATGAATGCTCTACTCTCTCTCCATACTCCATGATTTCTTTGCTTTGCTATCACATCAATTTGGGTTACTTTCTCTATCCTTTGGTGCAAGCCATTAATGTTGCCACAATAAACTAAGGTAATTGTTAATAATTTATCAAATTATTATTGCAAGTAGTGTAAAAATTGGGGCTTTGAATCCACTTAATTCTTCACCATTGTACCTGCAAAATTAGCAACAACAACACAACTATTGGAGAACAGAAAATAACGTACAGGAGAATTATTAGAGAAGAGAGAAGAACGCTGGATTGAGTACTACAATGGTGAAGTAAGAACTACAATTGTGGAAGAAATAGATTAAGAACCCTAATTTACCTTTCAATTGATTTGATTTGGGAGAGATTTGCCCTAATTTTTCATTGGAGTGATTTGGGGAGGCTTGCCTTAAGTATAATTACCCAACAATAGGCTGCAAGTAGGTATAATAAGGGGTCAACGCCTGAAAAATCGAATCAATGCAGGAAAAGAGAAGAGAGGTTTCATCAAACAAAAAAGTGATCGTGGTGGTTTTTTTTTAACAAAGATCCTTTTATAAGGCTTTTTCTTGCAAAATGAGACATTTAAAGATTTTTTTTGACAAATTTTCCAAAATTTTATTCTAAAACTAGCTAAATTATTGACTTGGAAGGAAGTTATCTATTTCTTATTTTCCTTTAAACTGATTTGGTTCACTTTATTGAATTTTTTTGGGTTTTTTTTAAAGATTTTTGTAACTTGGAAAATTTTAAGCCATACATGAATAAGAAAAATACACTTTAATAATATCACAACTTTTGGAATTTCAAATAGTATTTTTCTATCAACAGTATCGCAAATTTATACGACGATAAGGTATTTGAGGGATCCAGTGAGAAAAACTTCATATGTAAAAATTCATACTTATATGAGAAATGATTTAAAATTTAGAACATGTGACTCAAATTAAAATTTTGAACATATGAGTAATAATTTAGATCATTTGTGTGAGTAATAAGTTTAGAACATCTGATTTAAGAATTAGAACTACAAGTGATGAAAACTTTTTAAAATTTTCTTTATGAAATTTTAAACATACGAGTAAAATTTAGAACATCTGATTTAAGATTATGAACATATGAATAAAAATTTAGAACAAACTGATATAGAATATAGAAAGTGTGAGTAAAGAATTTAGAACATACAAGTAAAAAAATAGAACATACGCTTTAAAATCTGGAATATATAATTAAAAATCTTACACTACTACAAAAACGGGCAAAATGACCTCTAATAAAAGACATGTTGGTTTATACAACGGGTCTCTTTGATATAATAGATCTAATATTAGAGACAACGTATCTCTTATATATTATAGGGTCCACCAATAGTTTTATAAAGATGGAGGGAAAAAAAAAAAGACCCGTTGTTTGACTTAGCAGGTCTTTTATGTGTCCACCACCTAAACCAACCTTTTTTTTATTTGAAAACAAAACCCTATTTTCTTTCCCTCTTGTCTCTTCCTATCCCCATTTCCCATCACCAGCAACCCATTCACGCCGCTCCCTTTCTCTCTTTCACTCTCCTCACCTCTCCTCTTATTTTTCTCCCGGAGGAAAAAAGCTGATGCCACGAGCTCCTTAACACCGACGTCACTTCTTCCTCCTCCTCCTTAACAACGCCGTCACTTCATCCTCCTCCTCCTTAACACCGCCGTTGCTGCCTCCTCATTTTATTTCATCACCGTCAATAAAGCTCAGATTAAAGGGTTTAAATGTCAATTTTGACCATCAAAACTCCAGATCTGGAGTTTCATGGCTAAATTAAGCTAAAAAGCAAAAATTAAATTGTTTGAAAAGGTATATTTCATTTCTATTTCTTTTTAAAAAAAAAATAATTTTACAGGTTTTTGGTTGGTCGAGTAGTTTAGAGAGTTGTCGCTGGTGGGTAGGGTTTTTTACGGGTGGTCTGGTGATTTTGTTGGTATTTTTCTTGTTTTTTTTTATTTGAATTTTGAATTGGGTTAATTTATTTTTGGTTTAACTTTATTCTATGGGAATATTTTCTATCTTCTTTGCCCTCCAACCTTGTGTTGAAATGCCTCTGTGAGGATTTTGATTTTTTTTAATCTAATTTGATTTATTGGATATGAAACTCGATGAAGACGATGACAACAGTGGTGCTCCAAGTGTATCGATGAATTTAATGGTGAAAGGTTCTTTAGTTTGAGGTGCAAATTAAATTTTATATTTATGCTTCAAATTTGTTGTGCGTATCTCTCCTTTTCTTTGTTTTTTCTTATTGAATGTCAATATTTAGTTTTTTAAGTGGAATTCTCAATTATAGTCATTCATTATTTTAATTTTGTTTTTCATGAGATCTGCTTGATTTCATCACACAAAACTCCCAAACAAAGGATGTAGCAAATGGAGTACTCTAAGTCTTATTGATGTTGTAATTGTAAATTTCAATAAATTCAAACAATTTTTTTGTTGGGGTTTTTGGTTGGTTGATATTTTTTGTCTCATCAACTGTAATTTAGCTCATTGCTTTTTCGTGTTATAGTCTTTACGTAAAACTTATGATTTACAATTTTTTATTTTTATACAAATTTCTATAGAGCATAAAAAAACAAAATATTCATATGCAAAACGCATTATAGAAATAAATAGTATTTTTTAAAAAAAAAAATAAAGAACAAAGAGACCCGTCAGTTGACTTGATAGGTATGTTTGATACAATGGAACAGACCTATTATCTCCAACAACGGGTCTCTTTCTCTTCGAAAATATAAATCTCATTGCATAAATAACAGACCCGTTGTCAGTTGACAACGGGTCTCTTTGTCCGCACAAACAGACCCCTCATGAGAAAAGGTCTCTTAATCAAAGAGACCCCTGAAATAGAGACCCGTCCAAAAGTGGTCTCTCAAGCATATTTCAACGGGTCTCTTTGCCCATTTTTTGTAGTAGTGTTAGAACACACGTTTTAAAATTTAAAACATATAAGTTAAAATTTTGGAATAAGTTATTTAAAAGTTATGTTGAATTGACTACCTTAATATTTCGATGATTGACTTACATAAAACAAACTCTGACTAATGATGTTTATGAGTCTTGGTTGAACAGAAAGATTCAGGTACACAAATACATGTTCCGGAGTAGGAACAACAGAGTTTGGAAGACTTGACGATGAATGCAAGCTTTCAAGATGTCCCCACAACTCTATATTCTTAGTTACTCAGTGTACGAACTTAAGAAACAAAAGTGTTGGAAGGAATTAAGAAGAAACTCGAAGTTCCTGAAGGAACCTGAAGTTCCTGTAGGAACTTGACGAATGACTCAGAAAGTTTTAAACGAAAGTTTTAAAACGGTTTTCAAAAACCCTTAATTTAAGGAAGTGATAAAAATCTGTTTTGAAAAAGATTTAAAAAGATTTTATAAATAAATAAATAATTCATTAATTTAAAAAGATAAGTTTTAAATTAATTAATTATTTATGTTTTAATTAATAAATAAATAATTATCTTTTTTTAATAAATAATAATTATCTTTTGAATAAGTCTTTAACAGATTTTTAACTTGGTAAATATTGGCTGCTTAAATTAAGGAGCACGTTGAATTTAGGAGTCAAGCTAGGGAAATCATGTTCCTAAATTTCCTCTGCCTACATCTCAACTTCTCAGTCAAAGAGAACGTGGGATTAAGGGGGAAGTGGGAACTTGATGGAAGCTTGGTTTAACTCCTTATAAAAACAGATCAACGTTAAGTTTTGAAAGCGTGAAAAAACAATCTTAAGTATTCTGAGCATAGAATTTCAAAGTGTTTAAAAGAGAAGTTCCTTCCATCCTTAGTCTCTTAAGTTCTTTAGGAAATACTTGTAATCATTGTGTAATTGGGTTTGGGTTGTGAGAGTTGTAAAGTGTGAGACTTGAGAGAGTTGTTTACACTGTACAAGTGATTCGGAGTAGAATCACAAAGTGTGAGAAACTGTGATTGAGGGATCACAGTTGGGTAACTTGAGTTCCTCACGGAACTTGAGTCTAGGCAACGTATTAGTGATTGTAAATCATTTTTACATAGTGAATTTATTCATTGCCTATCTCAGTGTCTTTTCTCTTAGTAGTAGATTTAATTCCGCAAAATTTACCATAGTCTACATACACTACAATTCACCCCCCCTCTTGTAGTATACATTGTTCTATCAAGTTATGACATCAAACTTAACTAATTTATGGTTTAGAACATGTAAGTACTAAATTAGAACATTTGATTTAATTTAGAATAGCTAAGGAAAAGTTTAGAACATTAGATTTAAAATTTAGAACATATGAGTAAAAATTTAGAACATAAAGAGTGTTCTCACATAAGAAAATTTCTCACGAGAGCCTTCCCCTATATATATGCTTGATCTCACAAGTCATGCTCCTCTGATGTGAATATGGATAATCTTATTTTGTATATAGTGGCTAATGAGGTTCCAATGCCTAATAATGTGATAACAAATTATGTTGAAGAGAATAAATATTGTAGTTCTTGAGCCCTATATATATATATATATATATATATATATATATATATATATATATATATATATATTTCTATCTTTATGGTTAAAAAGAGTCGTAATATTTATTTATTATTGGTAATTAGAAGAATTTTTTGTGTGTTTTATTTTGTATAACTTTGAGAATTGTTGTGAATATCTTATGTTGAATGTTACCTTTAAAATTAATGGAATATTTTAAACTATGCCATTAGAAGAAAAACCCCATAATTAAAAAAGAACTAATTTTTTTTAAAAAAAATTATAAAAAAAACCCCAGTAAAGTGAATCAAACCGATTCAAAGGAAAATAAGAACTAAATAACTTCCTTCCAAATCCATAAATTTAGCTAGTTTTGGAATTAAGATTTTAATAGGTTGTTTTGATAAAAGGTTTTTGCAATTAAAAAAAAATTACGAAATACAATATAGAGTACTATTTTATCCAAAGTTTTAGTCCCCTTTGATTTTAATTCCTAGCTTTGCCTATACAAGGAGGAAAAAAATGGCTATTGTGACAATGTCTTTTAATTTTATCTCCCATTTGCCCATTTTTCTTTATAATGTAAGAATATGTAGGTAGCTATATATAAAATAAATTAGGGTTTTTTTAAGTTATGCCCCCAAACTTCTTTAGTTTCTAAGCTGTGTCCATGCTTTTTCAAACGTCTAAGTTGTGCCCTCAACCTTACTAATTTTTATTAACAATAACCTTTGACGTTAATAATAACGTATGTTTATTATTTTATTTTCTGATTTTTAATTTTTTTTTAAATTGTTAAACCAATTAGAACTGGACACTTGTCAAATTAATAACGGCACGACACCATTGTTGATAAAAATAACTTAACATTCGTTAATGGATTTGGCTGTCAAAGGGTATTGTTGATAAAATATCGTGAGGTGAAGAGTACAACTTATAACTTTTAAAAAACATGGGTACAACTTAGAAACCGAAAAACTTGGGGGGCATAACTTAGAAAAACCCAACAAATTAAAAATAGAAATAGACACTTATAATAATTTTGAGGCGCCCAATTAGAAAAACAAACACTTAAAAATTGGACGGATGGAATACAACATACAAGTTCAAAGTACACACTTGCGTGGATAACTAAATCCATCTTATTTAATTTGATGCTGGAAAATAAATAGCAAGGAACTAATATAAGTATTGATCAAACATTCAAGCTATTTCATCAAACCCTATTTCTCGTTGAATATTTCAGGTTAATTACCTCATTAAACGCAACTCCATTTTCAATGTTTCAATCTCATCTTTTTTCCTTTTTAATCCTACCAAGTAATTCCTATTCCAATCAACTGCTGCATCTTCTCTTCTCTTCAACTCTATGGCGTACGTCTTTTTCCAACTCTCAACCGCATCTTTTCTCCTCTTTAACTCTACTAGGTACTGTCTTGCTTCTTCTTCAACTCTACCGAATACGTTATTTTCCAATTCTTTGGCGCGTCTTGCATTTTTTTATATTCAAATGAGTACCTCATTCTATAATTCCCTAACTCCATTTCTTTCTTCTTCAAGTTTTCTCGCTTCATACTCTTAGCTGCTTCTTGTTGCCTCTTAGCCTCATTTGCTGCCACTCTAAGCTTGTAAGGAGCGTTCATTTTGTTGTTGTTGTTGTTGTTGCAAACAATTGAGTAAAATTGATTTGAGTTACCCTTCAAAACATATTATAAGCTATGTGTGTGCAATTCTATAAACTATGCATATATTTATAGTCTGATCGACTAATGAGCTATTACGTACTTGTGCTTGATTAAGTATCATTAAGTTTTTTGTTAGAAAAAATATTCAATTGGACCAAACCACTAGTTTATTGTTTACTATAAATGCATCAGTTGTTGGACGACATACTAAATTATCAAATGAATCAATTAATGCATGGTTAATTAGAATTTCATTTGTGTCAATTACGGGTCTGTTTACATTTAATTAATTTCAGTTCAGTTCAGGTCAGCTCTAATCAATTCAATTCAATTCAGTTTAGCTCCAATCAGCTTAGTTCAGTTCACTTCAACTCAGTTCAGTAAATGTGAACATGCCCTATTTTCCAAACCAAATACAAAGTACCATGTTTTGAATTCTTTTAGTCATAACTTATTTTAAAGCCATAGAGAAGGAAACTTCACATACAAAGAGAACAAATTAGCGTTCGTGACAATATAATGCCTTTTAATGTTATAAGATTGTTATAAATTGATCACATAACAGATTAAATAATACTCAAATGATGACTGAAATTGATCGTCCATTAGAAGATTAGATTATGTTCACATTATATGGTTTGTTTAGGTATATTTTGTATGTGCATTATATATGCTCGTAAGCTAGAACTGGTGAAAGCAGTTGGAGACTATACACACAAGGTCACCAAATTAGACCGAATAATACGGAGTATATCATTAATTCACCATGTACGACCATTGAACAATGACCCAAATTATTCTCAATTTCAAAACCTAAAATAAATGCTTAGATCATGCCTAGAATTAAATTAATTTCACACATAGGGTTTCCATATCATGTTGTCGATTCATTCGGATAATCATGATAGGTTTGGGTTGGGTTGGGTCATATTGAGTCATTTCTTGTTTTAATTTAGGATAGGATTAGGGTCACTACACATATAAATTTAATTCCAGTGACGGATACAACTGTCAAAGGGTATTGTTGATAAAATATTGTGAGATAGAGGACACATCTTATAACTTTGAAAATGTATGGGTACAACTTAGAAATCGAAGAACCTGGGTGGCATAGCTTAGAAAAACAATTTTTTTTTCTCAAAGCTATCACTTCCACAGCATAATAATACATTACCGTCTTTTGAATTTCAGGATCATTGTATAAGCAATCTTCTACATACTTGAAGAATAATTAAGGGCATGTTCTCATACGTTTATTTTCAGTTCAGTTCAGCTCCTAATTTCCTTCTCTTATAAAATATTCAGTTCAGTTCAGCTCTAATAAGTTCAGTTCAGTTCATCTGAGTTCACTCAATGAGAACAGGCCCTAACTTTCCAATTGTTCAAGTCGAAGTTGCTATAAAAAGTCATCTCGCATTTCAAATACTTATTTGGCATCAACAATGCTGCTGATTCGATTCGATTCGTTCTATAGGGATATATGCACAAAGGACCTTGGTAAAGGTACGACCATCTTTGTATTCATCATCATCGAATGAAGTGTTTAATTTTCGAACTAGGTAATGATTTGATAGCTGCATTTTTTGCAGGATGACTTTTGAATGGCCACAATAAAATTGTGGCTATTGTATTAAATCAAATCATAGTCGTTTATTTCTATTGATTAATTTGAATCGTTATATAATAAGTACACACAGATATAAGAAAAGATTGTACAGAAGTAGAAGGGGGAAAAAATACAGACTAAATAAAGAAGAAACTAATAAGAATATGGTAGGGTTTTTTTTTCATAATTTTTTAAAAAATAAAATACCTTATATTAACAGATCACATTAATCAATTGTGATTTGTTTTAATACAATAACGATAATTTTATAATAGCCATTTGAAAATTAAAAATGATCCACATAGTGAAGTTTCATCAGACAATATTTTTTGAACTCTATATCAGCCATCTTCTCTTGGAGTTTGTCGAATACCTCTTGTTTATCATCTAATTCCTTCATTCTTTTGATCTCTTCCTTTACCAACATATTTTTTATTAAGTCAATTACTTCTTCAACTTTCAATTCCTCATCCGAGTTGTCCTCATCATCCTCCTCTACATTTTTTTCTTTCCCTCTCAATTTTTCCTTGCATTTGTCATAACAACAGCCATGATTTGAACCTATGTCCAAGAGACGGCCACTCTCAAAGTCTCTACGAGCCCATCTAGTATTCAACGATGTCTCGACATCGTACTTAGACCAATCAAAGAGATCAAACAATCTAAAGTACTCCAGTCCTAACACCGTCGTTGTGACCCCTTTCGCCATCACGAAACAAAGCCCCTCGCGATTAATAATCAGTTGCGAGTTGTATAGATCTTCGGTAAGTGTCTGCAATTCAGACCCCCTAATTTCTTTGTTCCCAATCTTCAACACCTCATACTTGTTCCCGGGTCCTATACTAATTCCGAGATGGATCAAATTCTTCCGTTTCACCGGGTACGTGTAAAGACCGTCTAGCTCGTACACTCCGATCGATTCCATCTCAAAACATTGTAGGAAAGTCTTGTCTGATTTTAATGTGTAAGTTGCCATATTCTGTCCCCTTTTCGTTGTTCTGTCTTGAAAAAACAAACAAAGATAACATTGTTGACACCGAAATCTTGTTAATTACTATGTGTCAGATATATGTAAATAAGGAAATAATATCAAAAAAATTTAAGATCTATGACTCTCTATATAAAGAGGGTCAAATCTAGGATTTAAAGAGGCTCAGATAGAATAAGTCCTAAAGACCTCATCTCCTCCTCACTACCAAATATTGTAGGTACATAGTATGGATTGAGCCAACAAGGCTCCGTACGATACTATAAACAAATATCAAAACCCTAGCCCTTTAGAGAGAGGATCAAGAGATTTTTCCCGTATATTTAAACATTGTGGTAGTCATATAAAATTTTCAATCAAATTGGATAGTTTAAGTGCAACAAGATTACAATATAATCGGCCTGAACAAAGCGTTCATGTCTCTTTATCTTTTGCACTTACATACAACGACCTGGACATACATAATAGAACAGTTTCGTGTTTACGTACCATAAACACCTGATTGAGGTTGCGTACACCTGACGATGGTGCTAGTGAGCTACACACAAATTGGAACAAGAAGAAAATTCAAGTGAGATACTTTTTTTTCCACAGGTAGACCTAGCAAGGTGCACTACTCTACGCTTTGGAAAACATATACTATGGTATTTATAATGTAGTATAGTGTTATGTGCTGGCATATAGCCAAGTTGGACGGTTGACTTTTTGTTTATAAAATTGTGTATGTCTCAATGAAAGTTCTATAGTGGTCGTTTGAAATATTAGTATCATGATATTTTAATGATTATATTGTTCATAATTAATGTAGTTTTTTTTAGTGATATGATATCAATGTTCTTGTAATTAAGGCGGGGCAAAGACCAAAAATCCAAAACTGACCAAATTTTTGGGTTTAAGTTGGTGTCTTGAAATTTAAAACACAAAATTTTAAAAAATCGGGTGTACAATAATTATTGTACATCCATTATAAAATGATTATAAGTTACCCCTGAAATGAATATAAGTTACCCTAATATGCGTAAAAGTAACCCAATTCAAATTAAAAATTATCTACGCTTTATTAGTAAAGAATCACATTTTAATTGACTAAAAATCAATTATTAGTGATTGAATGTAATTAAATTACCTCTATAAAACTTTTCTTGTTATCTATTTATATAAAAATTGTATTATGCTTAAAGTTACCCAAAGAAAGGCAAAAAGTTACCCTAAAATTAGCTAAAAGTTACCCTTACACTGCTCGATGTACACTAATATTTGTGTAAACCGGATGTATACAAAAGTTTTTGAATTTAAAATATTGAAACTAGATAGATGGATAACCAAACGAAATATTTCTAACTTGCATGCATGTGGGTGAAAATCTGAACGATGTACAGGAATTTTATGGAAATTTATACTACTATCTCCATTTTTAAATAAGGAAAAATGGAAAAGAAAAATCCAACCTTTGCGCGATTTGACAATAAAAATCCAACCTTCCATTAATCTAAAAAAAAATCCAACCTTTATACCCCACCTTCTTTGAAAGATCCATTTGACCTTTAACCTGCTGAACAGGTTAATTTTTTTATTTTTTTTTTTAAAAAAAATTCTCACTTTCCTTCTCACTCCTCTTTTTTCTCTCTCCTCTCTACACCACCACAACCAGTCCACCACCTCTGCCACCACTTACCCAACCAGTCCAATTTTTTTTTTTTTAAAAAATCCCTTCTCACCACCACCGTATCCCCAGCCACCACCTCTCCCACCACCGCCGTCACCCCACTGTTGCCAGCCCTCCCATCCAACCACCGGTAAATCTCCTCCAAAAACGCTAGCACACCCGAAATCCCCCTCCCTAACACCAGCACCGCCCAAAACCCGCACCTCCTTCGTCATTTGGGTTTAATTTCTGGGTTTGGGTTTAATTTTGGGATTTGGGTTTAGTTTTCTGGGTTTGGGTTTAATTTTCTGGGTTTAGGTTTAACTACGTGGTGGTTGCTTAAGGGGTTTCGTGGGTGGTCGTGTTTGGGGGTGGTCGTGTTTGGGCGGTCGAGTTTGGGGTGGCTGCGATGGTCAGTTTCGGGTAGGGGTGGTAGGATTTAAGGGTATGGGTGGTCGAGTTTGCAGGGGATGGAGGGAAGGGGTGGCTGCGGTGGTCAATTCGAGTAAGGGGTGGTCGAGTTTGCAGGGGAGGGAGGGGGGGAGGGAGTGGTGGCAGGGGAATTGGTGTGGAGATGGAGCAGGTGCGGCGGTGGGGTTGGGGTGGTCAGGTACGGTGGTGATGGGGTGGTCGGGGAAGGAGGTGGGTTGGCTTTTCTGATTTTTTAAATTTTTTTTTGTTTTTTAATGATTAAAAAAATAATTGACCAATTAATGACTGACACGTGGCACATTACTTACAAAAATCGGTCATCAACAGGTAATGGATTTGTTGGAGAAGGTGGGGTATAAAGGTTGGATTTTTCTGAGATTAATGGAAGGTTGGATTTTTATTGTGATACCGCGCAAAGGTTGAATTTTTAGTTTTCATTTTTCCTCTAAATAATTACGGAGTAACACATTTGACTTTTTTCACTATTTTAACATAATCATCAAATTTCAGCATTTTTTTTATTGCAAAAAACTAAAAAGACGTGCATGGTAATGATTTTAGCATTAATCATTGTGAGGTGGAAACAAACAGTAGACGTTGACTTTATTTTTAAAACAGAAATATGGAATGCAGAAGAGTGGAAATAATAACGTTGAGAATCCATCAATCCATACAATTTTATTCGGAAGTATTCTATATTAGTCTTTTTAATATTCTATAATAGTCTTTTTAAAATGCTTAACTATGCATTCTTGCACTTCATTTTGGGAAGACTTTTTAATATTCCCCAAAAACTATAGCTAAAAGTAATCTCATCCATTAATGTTGGTGGTAGGGGTGAAATGGTATGGTTTGGTGTGGTTTGAGTCTAAACCAAACTAAACCGCAAAATATGATTTGGTCAATTTTTCAAACCAAACCAAACCATATTAGTATTGAAACAAACCAAACCAAACCGTAATTATGCAGTTTGGTGCGGTTTGGTTTGTGGTTTATGATGAGACGACATTTTTTCCTAAAAATTGTCAAATATTAATAAATTTATAATAAAATTCAAATAATTAGCCCAAAGAGATTAAAATCTACCACAAATTTTTAATAAAAATAACAACCAACTAATCAAGTGCTAAGTGCTAACACAATAACACATAATAAAAATAATACATAACGAATTAATAGTGGAAAAAAACATAATACATTTGTCCAAAAAAAATAATTCATACTACATTATAGTTATATGACCTATTGAATTTTAAGTATTGATATTTGAGATTGAGTATAGAGTATAGTAGTATACTGACCGTATAGTCTTCTAATGATTTTTCATGTTTTCATGTTTTTATTTTTTTTATAATATATAATAACTATTTTAATTTATTTAAAAATTATTTAAATATTAAAATGCGGTTTAATGGTTTACGGTTTGGTTTGGTTTATAATTTTTGAAAAACCAAACCATTCTGCAAATCGTATTTCCCAAAAAAATCGAAACCAAATCCTATTTTTCCAAACAGCAAACCAAACCAAACCGCTAAAATGCGGTTTGGTCTGATTTGGTTACGGTCCAGACCAAACTGTGTACAGCCCTAGTTGGTGGCACGTATTGTTCATTGAAACACCTTTTATTCTATACTTCGCATTTCTGGTAAAAATAAATAAATAAATAAAAAAAAACCTTCGTATTAAAGACATGCGGCACTCTCTCTTTTGGATGTGATATTCCACATCATCAACATACATATTAAAATAAAATTGATAATTTGTGTAAGATTTGTTCATGTGATGAAATCCTTAACTAAGAAATTAAACTATGTGATATTTGATGTTAAGTTTATTATACAAAAATTGCAATCAAGTGGTTAAATTGTAAATAAATCAATACTGACATTTTTCATATTAATATGATAATATCAACAAATATGAGATCCTTATTTAATGAAAACTTGTTAATTTAAGAAAAATTTGTTTAAAATGACCAGTTAAGTAGTCTATTTTGTTTCAAAGGACCTTATAAGTAAAAGGTTGCCTAAAAGAACCATATAAGACAGCTTGGGTAATGACGAGGGATCAAGTCCAATTTTCAGGCAAGTTAATGCCGGGCTCCTTTCCAAATAAAAAAGTGTTACAATTAATATGTAACGGATGAAAACAAAAGTGTTGTAATTAATACTAAACGAAGGAGTACATGTTATTTGACCTAACATACGATATAAAATTCAGTAAAAATCCATAAATTATTAATACTTCATTTATTTTTTGTACTAGCATTATTTTTTTTTCCTTTTCATTAATTTTAAAGTATGTAAATTTATTTATTTTTGTTAAAAAATCCAAGTTTATCTCCATGATTGTTTATCAATAAGAAATAGTGTGTACGTAAATTCTTTCATTAGAAATTTTACCAATTTTTACCTCAAAATCTTACTCTCTCCGTCCCCAAAAATTCGATCTTTTTGGCCTAATTTTAGTCCCAAAATGATCGACCCATTTGCATAATAACCACCAATTTACAGCAATATTCTGTAAAATTAATTATCTTGCACATATAATATTTTGTTTATCATGTCCTTTTAATACTTTCGCTATCTAATTTTTTTACAAACCTCATGTAAATTTATTTTTCTATTATACTTTTACTTCTTTTTTATTTAACTTTCTTAATATCTGTGAAATCAACCCAAAAGGGTCGTTCTTTCGGGGACGGAGGGATTACAATTTTTTCTACAATAAATGAAATAAGTTTATCAAAGAGATAAAATAGAGCTCCCTCCCACTACAAGAAAAATCTCTTTTCGTAGCGATTATTTCGTAGCGATTGTACATTCGCTACAATATGCAAGTATGTTTGTGAAATAATTTTTACAATCGCCATGGTTTTCCCATATTAAATCGATATGGAAAACATAATAATACATATCCACACTATTTTTACACATTTATATAATTTTGAGAAATCATATCATTTACAATCGCCACTAAATCCTAAATATCGATACGAAAAGCCTTTTCAAGACTAGATATATAAATATTGTTTAACAAAGAATACATAAAATATGTCATAGCTATTGGTGATACATTTAATATCAGAGTTTGAGGTTGCATGTTCGAATCTTGTAAAGATCATACGCATATTTTTTTTTTTTGAAGAAAATGAGTTAAACATTTATAGCGATTGTAATCGCTACAATAATCACCACGATTGGAGGTAGTTTTTTGTATCGATAATTGAGGCCAACCCCAGCGATATTAAAAACCACTACTAAAAGCTAAGGCAACAGGGTATATTGTATCGAATGACCATTCGTTGGGAAAACTTTTTGTTGCAATTACAATCGATACTAAAGGTTAAAATAATCGCTACGAAAAGGTTATTTTCTTGTAGTGCCACCTTTTTTATCTAATTTAATTAAATGAAATATGTTTATCAAGGGGGTAAACTTAGCTGAGGTTAATAAACCTGAAAATTATCTCAGAAAACAAATCCTCAAAAGAGTGAGACCAGAAGAGGTGAATAGACAAATCACAAGGGAGAGACTCCCATAAACCCCGAGAAAAGGCACAATCCCGAAACAAGTGTGAAGAAGTCTCCGAATTCAAATGACATAAGGCACAACAAAGATCCACAAGAATATACCTTGCAAGCATAACAATAAAGCGGTAGGTAAAGCATTATGAAAGATTTTCCACGCGAATATCTTCCATTTCTGCAATAATTGGGAACCCCAAAGCTGCTTCCGCCAACTTGGGGGAAGGTCCACTAGCTGTGTAGCCTCATTCACCATCTGACAAATTAACCTAGCATATGTTGTCTTGGTGGAGGAATTCCCATCACCCGTGAATTTCCAGTAAATAAAGTCATCCATCTCCTGTTTAGGCTTTTCCAAGCTCAAAATCAACATAGCTATGTTGGGAGGAAAGATCTGTCGCACATAGCCAACATCCCCACATTAGGGTGCGTATTAATTAAATCAGACACATGAAGGAACAACCTATCTGTCCATAAAATCTTTAAAATAACTTGAACCCCAGGCAACCAACAATCGTCCAGAATGCTAATGGAAGACCTAGAGCCAACCTTCCAAGCAATACAACCCCTCAGAACGCGCAATCGTTCCGACATACCATGACAACCCCCACTACTAAAATTCGACTAAATTACGACCGTATCTAACGGTCGTAAAAATAGCAAAAACAGTCGCAAAAAGTAATTGCGAACGTCAACGATCGTAATGTGGTAGTCGTTATTCACGTGGTACAAAAAGTCAAAATTGCGACTGGTTGACGGTCGCAATTTATTTGCGAGCGTTCCCGTTATTTTCAACGACCGTTACATTAACGGTCGTAATTTATAATATTTGCGACTGGTATAGTAACGGTCGCAAAAAATGTTCATTTGCGACGGCCTAAAGCGGTCGCTAAAATTTGAAGAAAAATATCGGAAACAAACGAAACCAAAATCCAGAAATAATGCAAACAAAAAATAAAAATAAATCAAATTCAAGTAGTAACATACCACAAAATCCAAATTACAAGCAGAAACCACAATAATCAATTAATAAAATGAAACCCAGCAGAAAATAAATCAAATTTACAAGCAATTAACCGCAAATATCAAACAAAAAATCAAAAAAATTACCAAAAATCATACACAAATTCAAAATGAAAATTAACAAAAATCAAACCGATAAAAATGAAGAACAATTCGACCTAAAATATCAACATACGTTTAACAAAAATAAAACCAAAATTAACGAAAAAGCACCAAACCTTGAAAGAAGAACAATTCGACCAAAAAATCGACCAAAAATCAAATCCAAGAAATTCGGCCAAGAACTAGAACAAAAAAAGAATTAAAACCCACATAAATTGAAAAAAACCAAAAACAAACAAAAAATTAAACCCACATAAATAATATCGAACAAATATTAAACCCACATACAAATTCGAACAAGTATCAAAACCACATAAATAAAATCGAATGAAATAAAACCCACATAAATTAAATCGCAAAGAAAATTAAATGGGCATAAATTACACCGAATCCGACCAGTAAATCGAACAAAAAACGAATTAAACCCACAAAAATCAAAAATAAAACAAAAATAAACAAAATTTCAAGAAAAAACAACATACCTTTTACAATATTTCTTCCTCTTTGGGTTTATATGGTCAAATTCGACCATGACAACTCCAAATCTGGAATTTTTATGGTCGAATTTAACCATTAACACCATAAATTGTTTGTAGCTCGTTGAATAACGCAAAATTCGATTGTTTCTCGGTGAAGAACGCAAGCAAAGAAGAAAATTAGGGTGATGAGGATAGACGGGCTAGCAGTGTCAAAGAGGAGGAGCAGAAGAGAAGGAAAAAGAAGAGAGAGAAAGGAAAGAGGAGAAGAGAGAATAGAGCGTGAGAACAGAGAGAAGAGAAAGAGGAGAGAGAAAAGAGAGAAGCGGCGTGAGAAGAGAGAATTAGGGTTAAGTTAGCTGACCACCCTTTTATACCCTTATTTAATATAAAAAAAATTTGCTTTTATTTGTTGCACCTAAAAGGTGCATGGAAGCAAACGAAGAAATGTGCTGGACTACTTCATCAACAAAACTCTAAAAAAGTTGACATTTCCGTCGACCCATATCCACCAGAAGCCTTAGATAAGAGCCCAATGTGTCTTTAGCTTCGATACGTAAGGCGGGAGAGAAAAAATCCTTATAATCCTCAGAAGTGTTAAAACTGAATTTAACAAAGGATTTTAGAAGATTGACCATCTGAGCATAATTAGAGCAAAACTCACTGATAACCTATAACAAGTTGTCACAAGCCAAAGGCGAGACCCTAAAGAAAAGCAATGCATCATCAGCAAAGAAGAGATAAGACACTGAAGGTGACCCGCGAGATATTTTCAGACCTTTAATTAACCAAGAACCTAGCTACCACACGACGTAATATCAAAGAAACAATCTCCATACACATAACAAAGAGATTCGGAGAAAGTGGATCCTCCTGACGGAGACCAAAACGAGGAATTAGAAAAAATCTCCATACACAAAGCGTCAAAAAGTAATTTAATTGCAATATCTTCCTTTTGGTTGACAATGGTGTGTAATCTTTCGAGTGGATTGTGGCTATTCATACTTTGCAGATTATTATTAATGGAAGATTGGAAGATGTCGTAGTAGTTTAGTTTTTAGAGGAAAAAGGAAAAATAGTTAAATAATTTTTTTTTTTTTTTGGTACTTATTTTGGCCAACTTAAATCAATGGCTCTTATTTACATAATTGGATCACATATTGCAAAAAACTAGGTTAGGTCCCACGTCATGCAGGGTAATTTTCAATAACTATTTTTAAAATTAACACTGTATTATATTTTTTAACTTCCATATGTTATATTCATATCATTTGAATATTGAAAATCTACAAAAAAAAATGACAAGAAAAATTACACTAAGAATAATTAACATGTGTTGTTCTTGGCATGTATTATTGAAGTATCCATACAGTACTAATTGATTGAAATTCTAATCATAAATCATTCAAGGAAATAAATATAAATAAATAAAGCATCATTTGATGATTTGATATTCGCATTTCGTTATTTAAGCTTGTAACTTCATTCTATTACATAATTAAAAAAAAATCAAGAAAAAATATATAATCTTGTTGTAATAAACGTACATAGTACCTAATATGTCTTTCCTACCAAACATAGTCCATAACAAATTATGTTAAGACTTAAGATTATTATACTTAATTTTTTTTGCTTAAGTTTATGATTGTCAATCTGTTTTATTTTGGAAAGATTTATCAAAATCTTCTCTTACACTTTGTAGGAAATTAATATAATACTCCGTTTCAATATGATAGTCCCATATGGAATCAATCACATTAAATAAGAAAAGGTGAATATTTGGAATCTAGCATTAAAGTAAAAAACAATTCATAAATAGTTTGCCTTATCTAATTTTTTTTAAGGAAAGCATTAGTCATAATTGCATAAATCAAGGGAATAATTTCTTTACATAGAGTCATGTTATTAATTCACAATCAATTAATCTAACCACTCATAATTTATTATGTATAAAATAGGAAATAAAAACTAAGTTAAAAGTGGAATACATTCAATATGGGTAGATCTTTTTGAAACGCCCAAAATAGTATATGGAACTAACAAATTGAAACGGAAGGAGTACTTTATATATTTAAAAAGATTTTTTTTTTAAATAATTTTTTTTTTTTTAAAAAAAAATCTAAAGATACACCAAGAGATGACACGTGTCATTAGTGTGTCTTTTATTATATAGTTATTGATGATTATTCATTCAAGCAACTCTGTTCTAATTCTATATTTTAAGGCAAAAATTAATCTGAGGTCATAGTAATATGCGCAAAAAGCACATAGAAAATCAGACCAGTGGCTCCAAAACAGCATTGCGGTGATTTTGTTATCCCATCGCAAGGTTCGCTACACATACTCAACAAACCAGAAATAAATTTAAACTTGGCAACAACTACATGCCAATATCTACTGTTATTATCTGAAATCAATTTCCAATTTCCCAACTATTTATTATGAAATTCTAGCCATGAAAAAGCTAATGACATACCGAGTAATGCAAAGGGTGAAATCAAGAAAAATGACAGTTAAGAAGACAATAATGGTTCATCTTGGAGCTAATAGCCACTCATTATATATAATCAGTATACATGAATCACAAGCAAAGATTGTTAAGAAGTAAAAGGGGAAAAAATACAGAGTAAATAAAGAAAAAACTAATAAGAACAAATTAACGGTTGTAATTTGTTTTAATACATTGACTACAATTTTATTGTAGTCATCTGAAAACTATTATTCACGACCCAGACAGTAAGTTTGTATCTTAAATTCTTTGTCGATCTCATCTGCGTCAGGGTACATCTTTTCGAGTTTGTCGATTTCCTCTTGTTTATCATCTAATTCCTTCTTTCTTTTGATCTCTTTCTCTACCAACATTTTTTTCAATAACTCAATTACCTCTTCAACTTTCAATTCCTCATGATTCTCCTCGTTCAAGTTATCCTCATCCTCCTCTACTTGTTTTTCTTTCCCTTGTTAAGAAAATAATGCAAATTTTCTATTTAATCAAATTTGAGGGAGAAATAAATTACATAAACAAAATGTCTATTTATACCAAAGTGCAAAAACACAACCCCTCTTTTCTCTGAGTTATTTTTCTTCTCTCAGATTTTCTCTTGAAATTATTACATACAAATGAACGAAATGCTCAATTTATAGTTTTCCTAAAACAACCTAAGCCATTTAAAATTTAGCCTGCAATATTTATTACCATTAGTTATTTTTCCCTATATTTGGAAACACCTTTAATTTTCAATGGTAATGCATGGTTATTTAATAACCATTTATTTTTTTTCTTTATGTTTCTTAATTATCTGCCAACAATCTCCCACTTGAAGACTGATTTCAATCTGTCTTCACACCAAGGAGTAGAACCTCAACTAGTCTTCTGTCATTTTAAGACCAATTGATGTTGAGCACAATTTCAACTTGTCAATCGTCACTGTTTTCGTTAACATGTCTGCTGGATTCTTACTGCCAAGAATCTTTTTAAGAGTTAACACTTCATCTTCTAGAAGAGACCTGATAAAGTGATAACGAATACCGATGTGCTTTGTTCTTGAGTGAAACGCCGAATTCTTTGCTAAATGTATAACACTCTGACTATCGCTATACAAAATATTATTCACTTGTTTGAACCCCAGCTCATCTAACAAACCTTGAAGCCAGATCATCTCTTTACTAGCTTCGGTCACTGCCACATACTCAGCTTCTGTAGTGGATAAAGCAACCATCTTTTGTAGTTGGGACATCCAACTTACGGCTGTATTTCCAACTGTAAATACATAACCCGTTGTGCTCTTTCTATTATCGACTTCACCGCCAAAGTCTGCATCAACGTAACCTTGTATTTTCAATTCACCTTTACCAAAGTACAAACACTTATTAATTGTACCTCGTAAATACCTCAAAATCCATTTAACAGCTTCCCAATGGACTTTTCCTGGATTGGACATAAACCTGCTTACAACTCCCACTGCATGTCCAATATCTGGTCTTGTACAAACCATTGCATACATCAAACTTCCAATAGCCGAGGCATAAGGAACCTTGGCCATATATTCTTTATCTTCATCTGTCTGAGGGGACTGATCCTTTGATAGACGAAAATGACTCGCCAACGGTGTACTAACAAGCTTAGCATCACCCATATTAAATCTCTGAAGAACACGTTTGATGTACTCTGATTGTGATAACTGCAAAGTGCCTCTCTGCTTATCTCTTGTGATTTGCATTCCTAAAATCTTCTTTGCTGGACCCAAGTCCTTCATGTCAAATTCCTTTGACAATTGATGCTTCAACTTTATAATATCATTCATATCAGAACCTGCTATTAACATATCATCAACATAAAGTAATAGGATGATATAACTGGATTGATATCTCTTGAAGTAGCAACAGTGGTCAGCGTTGCACTTCTGGAAATCTTCCTTGTGCATGAAGTTATCAAACTTTTTGTACCATTGTCTTGGGGCTTGTTTTAGCCCGTATAAACTTTTCTTAAGTTTGCATACCATCTGCTCTTTCCCACTTTTTATAAAACCTTCTGGCTGGTGCATGTATATTTCTTCATCAAGATCTCCATGAAGAAATGTAGTCTTCACATCTAACTGCTGGAGATAAAGATCTTCAATTGCAACAATACTCAACACTGTTCTAATGGTATTGAGTTTCACAACAGGAGCAAATATCTCATTATAATCAACTCCTTCTTTCTGTTTAAAACCTTTGACAACTAGTTGAGCCTTATACCTCTTGGAATCATCGTGCTCCTTTTTTGCTCGATATATCCATTTGTTATGAAGGGCCTTCTTACCTATGGGTAACTCAGTTAGTTCCCATGTCTGGTTTGAAATCAGGGATTGCATTTCATCTTTCATTGCAAGCCCCCACTTGCTAGCATCTCTGGTCTGGGATGCTTCATAATAATCTTCTGGTTCCCCATCATCAGTTAATAACAAATAATTCATATATTTTCTATTAGGCACATGTGGTCGAGTACTCTTTCTTAGTGTAGGAGTTGGACAAGAAGGTTGTTGTATGTCATTTGATTGCGATGTACTGCCCTGTACAGTCTGTTCTTCTTGTTGCGGAGTACTTATGATAGTGTACTCTTGCATCGTACTGTCTGGGACATAATCTTCATCAATGAATGTAGATTCTTTTTGATTTGTTTCATAACTCTCAATTTTATGCCTATCTTTGTACATGACTCTCTCATTGAAAATTACATCTCTTGAACAAATAATCTTTTTGCTTTCATCATCCCAAATGCGGTATCCGAACTCATCTTCGCCATAACCGATAAAAGTGCAAACTTTTGATTTAGGATCAAGCTTATTTCTGCCTTGATCACTAATGTGCACATAAGCTACACAACCAAATACCTTTAAGTACGACAATTTGATCTATTTGCCGCTCCATACCTCCTCTGGTAATTTGTACTCCAATGGGGTTGATGGTCCTCGATTGATCAAGTAAGCTGCTGTATTGACTGCTTCTGCCCAGAATTGTTTTGGTAGACCTGACTGTATACGAATGCTTCTGGCTCTTTCTGTCAATGTTCGGTTCATCCGCTCAGCTATGCCATTATGCTGAAGCGTACCTGGCACAGTTCTTTCCATCTTAATACCATGCTCGTAGCAAAACTTCTTGAATTTGGTGTCCTCATATTCTCCGCCAT